GTTAAAGAATTAGTCTAGGTGTCAGTCAATAGATGAATAGAAAAGCAAATGTGGTATGTATATGCAATGAAATTTTATTCATCTATCAAGAAGAACAAAAATTATGTGATGTACAGGAAAACAGATGGAACTGGAGAATATTATGTTAAGTGAAGTAAGCCATTCTCAGAAAGATAAGTACTGTAGGTCTTCCCTCATATGTGGAAACAAGTTGGAAAAAAGTAGGGGAAAAAAGTATGTCATAAAAGTAGAAGGGAGATCAATAGGGTAGAAGAAGGGGACTGGGGGAATGAGGAAGGGAGGTATTGAGGAATAAAATTGATCAAATTATATGCATGTACCAATATGTCACAATGAAATTCACCATTCTGTATAATTAATATGTACTAATAAAGAAGAAGTTTGGGATTTTCAGATTAGGGTTATTCAACCAATAAAGTCTATGCAAATATTCCCAAATCCAAAAACTCCAAAATCTGAAACACTTCTGCTTCCAAGCATTTCAGATAAGGGATACTCAACTTGTAATTTAAAAATTGCTATGGCTTGCTTTACAGCCCAGTACATGATTTTTTAAAAAATATTTAATGTGTGTTTGAGGAAAATGTAAATTTATTCTACATCTTGAATGTGGAACTCAAGTTTATTTGTTGTGTGTAATTATTGTTTTAATTTGGGGACCTATTTGACCTATTGAGAGAAACAGTATTAGAGAGCAATCCTTAGATTTGATTTTATTTTATGGCGTTGTGGATCAAGCCCAGGGCCTCATACATGCTAGGCAGGTGCTCTACCACTGAGCTATATATTCATAACCCCTCTCCTTATATTTAAATTCATCACTTCCGGGGGTATAGAAGGGAAGAAATTGCCCTGGTTAGTCTTTACCTGCTTTCCTAGCTTTACATCCAGCACAGTATTTCTTCCCTGCCCTGACATACTCCCAAGGAAGTCTGGATTGGAGGTCTACATCAGAGGTGGTGTGCAGGAAGCAAGAGCAGAAATCCCAGAAGTTCCTTTTATATTTTATCCTCCCACACATTTGTGTAAGGGTTGGTCATGGTTTTCCCTTTATTAGTGGGTTCCTTTCTTGGTATGTTTGGGGTTGATCTTGGGCAATGGAACAAGCAACTATATTAATTCATCATCTTGTTGGAGACCAAACTGAAACACTATACCTTTCTTTTTGTGGGTCACCTGTAAAATCCTGGAAATGGAATTGGTTGAATATTTCTACAGTAAACCTGTGTTACCTTCTGTATTTTTTCATTTCTGTTTATGGCACTACTAGCATCCAATCACATGAACCAGAGCAATGTTTTGTCAAGCCTGTAGGTGGGGATAATAGAAAATATTTGGGAGCATAGCATAAATTAATGGTAAGTATTATTTTGCAAAACTTATTTCATTGGTATGTATACATTCACAAGTACTCATAAGTCTGGCTACTTTTTTTTCTAGTGCTGGGGATCGAAACCAGGGCCTTGTACCTGCTAGGCAAGTGCTCTACTGCTAAAGTATGTCCCCAGCCCACAAATATGGATAAGTCCACATGCTGGGCTGTGCTGAAGAATGTATTAATGTGTGTTATAATGTAGAAGCACTGAACCAGGGAAGTATCATTTCCCTAAGAAGAATCTTTTTTTCCCACTTTCTTCTGCCTTACCTCCCTTAGCCATTAAATTACCAAATCTGCTGATTTTGTTTCTTCAATAATTCTCATCTTCATCCCATCCTCCTGTTCCTAACTACTACTCTAGTTCCAGCTCTTTCTCTATCAGCCTCTCAGATTCATGCTTCACAATCTCTTATTCTTAACAGAGTAATTTAACTGAAATGTAAATTGAGCTTATTTAATTCCTTCTCTGGTTCCCTATTTCCCGTGGATAAATTATGAGATTTATAATGTGACCCTGCCTACCTCTTTGGCTTCATTCACTATTATTCCATTGATGCTGATAACACCAGACCAGTTTTCTCCCTGCTTTCTGAAGAATTTTACTTTGTTAATTCTGTTTATTTTGTCTGGCATGGGAAGTGGGGGAATCCTTTATTTCCATCTCTTTTTTTTCTGGTAAACTGTATCTTATTCATATTCACTCATTCATTCATTCATCTCTCTCTTTCTCCCTCCCCACTCCCACTTCTTTCTCCCTCCTAACCTCTCCCATACTGGAGCTTAAATCCAGGGGCACTTAACCACTGAGCCACATCCCCAGCCCCATTTTTTTTTTTTTTTGAGAAGGGTCTCACTAAATTGCCCAGGCTGGCCTCCAATTTGTGATCCTCTTCCTCAGCCTCCTGGGTTGCTGGGATTACAGGTATGTGCTACCATGCCTGGATCATTCATTCTCACTTTGTATAGGAAATCTTCTACCCCACTAGGTTCCTCCTTTGTGTTTCCAGAATATTCTCAGAACCTCTTATTAGAATTGACAGGTTATTTTAAATTTATTTAGGTAAGTATTTACTTCCTTTATGGAAAGAGCTGGTCATATTCACTTAGTGTCTAAAGCAATACCTGGCTCATATTGGGTGTTCAATGTTGGTTGAGTGACTGAATATCCATAAAGTTAAAGTGACTTTTTCAAGATCATTTGCTTATAGGTTACAAAACTGAACTGGAAAACAAGTACCTCTTTTATTGTCTCATGCTATAGACAAATGCTCCTCCTAATATATTATGTAAACCTGGATAAATACAGTATTTATTGTACATTACTGAATAAATCACTTTAAGCTACTTTGCTAATGACTAGGATGATTATAATTTGCTTTGTAAATAATGAAATTCTTATATACTGTATTGGAGCTTGTTTCTGGTACATTTTTCATGAAATTTATATGTTCACAAACAGTTCAAACTAGATTAAAAAGTCATTTGGAAGAAATAAGAATGGTCTTTTAGGTGAAAAAATGTGTGTGTGTGTGTGTGTGTGTGTGTGTATAAAATTTGTATGTTGTATGGTGCTAGAGATCAAACCCAGGGCCTTGAATATGCTAAGTACACACTGTACCACTGAGGTATATTCCCAGTCCCAGTGACATTCTGATAGCTCAGGTAGATAAAAAATTGTGACACATTCCAGGCATGTTATTTAAAAGATTATTTGAGCTAGAATGCCTGAGGATGGAAATGGCAAAATTTGGAAAATTACACTGTAGGAGTAGCTCAATAAATGTATGAATCAAATTTGTATTTATAAGCACCAGCATATGATTCTTGTGCTCTTAGGTTCTTCCAATTTCTGTAGCATACATATTGCAGATATCAGTTGGTGATACTAAGATACAAAAACCAAGACCAATTTGTGGAAGGATAGGGAAAGTTATTTCAATCTGGGTTTATTTCCAATTTCAGATTTCTTTAAAGAAATAGAAATTATAGTACAACTATAGTACAAAATAAAAAATGTGGGGAAAAGTAGAAGTTATAAAGGTGATGCATCAGAAAAAGCAAAAGCATCATAAAGCTGAAATAGTATATTCTGATGTTCTGATTATGATAAATGCGTAGAAAAAACAGATGCATAGGATATGAGTTGAATTTTTTTGTAGTGCTGGGGATTGAACCTGAGCCCTTGAGTATGCTAGGCAAGCACTCTACCACTGAGTCACATTCCCAGCCCATGAACTGAATTTTTAAAAAATATATTCTTGAACTTTGTACTCCATGTAAATTTTTTGGTTATATAGATTCCAAATATACTAAAAGTCTATTGATAATAATGATGATATGGATGTCACCTGGGTTAACTCATAGAAGGTTCAAACCATAATGTCATAGAGGCTGCCCTTTAACTTGAATTCTCAGAAACACAATCTGATGGCAGAGAGAAAGTGGATTTATCTCCTGGGAAGTTATATTAACCAAGATCATAAGTTATATATAATGAGAGCTGTAGTTGCTAAAGGAACCAGACACTTGATTCCTCTAGGTATATATTTTCTTCCTATAGTGTTGTATACTAGCCTAATAATTTTAAAACATTTCAATATTTTAATTGATGGCTCTTTTCACCCATAAAAAACCACAATGCTATTATCACACCTAACAAAATGAAAATTTCTGTTTTTCATTTCTTTTTTTTAAAAAAATTTATTGGTGCATTATAATTACACATAATGGTGGGATTCATTTTACCATATTCATACATGCACATAATTTGATCAGTTTTATTCCCCAATACCTTCCCTTTCTCTCCTTTCCTCCCCCATCTACTAGTTCTTCTCATATCCCATTATTTATTATTATTATTTTAGTGCAATGCAATTATATGTATAAGCAGGATTCACTGTAGTTATGTTCATACACAGACACATAGCATGATTTAGTAGATTTTGTTCCCCAGTACTTCCCCATGCCCTCTCCTCCTGCCTCCTTCTTGATCCCCTTTCTCTACTCTATTATTCTTTCTTCTGTTTTTGTGAGATCCTCTCCCTCCCAACACCCAAGAGAGGAAAACATTCAATTCTTGACTTTCTGAATCTGGCTTATTTCACTTAGCATCATGTTCTCAAAAATAGGGAATGCCTCACAAATTTGTGTGACTTCCTTGTGCAGGGCCCATGCTAATATTTTCTTTATTATTCCCATTTCAGTATCTGTACTGCCAAAGTGAGTACTGATAAATTCTTTAATATTACCTAATATGCTCTATATATGTTAGTGTGAATTTCCCCAGTTTTCTAAAAAAAGTATTTTTACAGATGATATGCTTGAAACTGGATCCAAACAATGTCTACACATTATATTTGGTAGATATGCCCTTGTGCCTTTATCTATAAGGGTTTCCTTTCCCTTTTCCCTCCTTTCTTGTGTTTTTCCCTCATTCGGAGGGAAAAAATGTCCTATTTATTTTCTTACTATATTACAAAGTCAAGGAGATTAGGAACTTATATTTTAGCACTGAGAGCTGTGCCTGGCACCCCATAGACATTTAATTGATTTTTGTTGAGTAATATTAATAATATTTCAAGTCTGTGTTTTATCCCTGCAGGTTGATCCAAAAGACTACATGTTCAGTGGACTGAAAGATGAAACAGTAGGTCGCTTACCTGGGAAAGTGGCAGGACAGCAGTTTCTTATTCAAGACTGTGAGAACTGTAACATCTACATTTTTGATCATTCTGCTACAATTACCATCGATGACTGTACTAACTGCATAATTTTTTTGGGACCTGTGAAAGGCAGTGTGTTTTTCCGGAATTGTAGAGATTGCAAGTGCACATTAGCCTGCCAACAATTTCGCGTGCGGGATTGTAGAAAGCTGGAAGTCTTTTTGTGCTGTGCCACTCAACCCATTATTGAGTCTTCTACCAATATCAAGTTTGGCTGTTTTCAGTGGTACTACCCTGAATTAGCTTTCCAGTTCAAAGATGCAGGGCTAAGTATTTTCAATAATACATGGAGTAACATTCATGACTTTACACCTGTATCAGGAGAGCTCAACTGGAGCCTTCTTCCAGAAGATGCTGCGGTTCAGGACTATGTTCCTGTACCTACTACTGAAGAGCTCAAAGCTGTTCGCGTTTCCACAGAAGCCAACAAAAGCATCGTTCCAATATCCCGGGGTCAGAGACAGAAGAGCAGTGATGAATCATGCTTAGTGGTATTATTTGCTGGTGATTATACTATCGCAAATGCCAGGAAACTAATTGATGAGGTAAGGAGAGAAAAGAAAAATAGACATACACCTGGGCAGAAACACACCACTTTGGAGAACTTCCATTCTTTTCAAATTGGCTATTAGAAATACCGGCAACCCCCAAGTTACAGTCCTCTGTCCCACCTCTGCAAGACTTGTCTGTAAGCAGGTTACTTGGTCTTCAAAATACGTTCCTAGAGAAAAAAAATTCTTAAAAATGTAATTCAATTTGGTAAACATTTATTAAGTGCTGATTATGTAAAAAGTTAGTCTGTTGCCATATTTCATTGACTACATGATGCATATTTGTTTTCCACATTTTTGCATATCTTAAATGCATCTTATAATTGATGGCAACTTAGATATAATGAAATGTAGTATATGCTGAAAAAGGAGATACACAGGCAAAATTATCTGTCCTCAAAGAATTTCCATTCTTGGGGCTGGGGATATAGCTCAGTTGGTAGAATGCTTGCCTCACATGCACAAGGCCCTTTATTTGATCCCCAGCACCACAAAAAAGAAAAAAAAAAGAGAATTTCCACTCTTTAGAATGAATGATTTCCACAAAAGTTCACAAAAGTAGTAAATAATAAAATATGGACTTTTATAATTTAGTTTGAAAATTTATTTGGAGTTTTAATTGGTTAGGGAGTGGAAAAGACATTTAGGAATACAACATTTGGATCCTTTGAGAGCAACTTTCACATCATGCTCCTTAGATTCTATTGCCTTATTGCCCTAGAAGGAAGGTAGGTATGGAAGACAAGATGAGTCTGGGATGACAAAGGTTTTAGGAATATGAACAGCAGCTCTTGGTGAGCTCCTGAGTAGAGAAGCTTGAAAAGCTCATGAGCTTTCACCTGAAAAATAATTAGGATGTAGAAGTCAGGGGCTACAGAAGCAGCAGTTCCATCATTGGGTATTCTGTTAGGGAGTGGCAATAGGATATATTGAATATCCTTTAGGAGGGCTCTATTTTAATTCAGTAATCAAATTCCAAAAGCAGAAATGAAAGGAAAATTCATGGAGTCTCTTTAAAGGAATTAAAAAAGAACATAGCAAAGGGAATAATTTTAGGGAAAAAAGTAAAAATGACTGCCTCTCTTTAGCTGTACATCTACAATGTAGAAAACCCATGCTTGAAATCCATAAAGTATATCTGAGGCATAGTTTTCAAAACAATAGAAGTCAAATTGTGATTTAAAAACTTTGATATTTTATTTTGTGCTGATGCCAATCTGATAAAAGCATTCTATGAATCTGAAAAGATATAGAAAAATGTGCTTCTGGCCTTTAAACTATCTAGTCACATGTTAATCTAACATCTGACAAGTAAATGTTTTCATTGTACTATATAGTTATTGTTTTAACAATCTACATACAGTTTTCAAAACAGTAATTATTTAGGATTAACATCTTTTGGGTAGGAAATCAGAAATGTAGATAAAGAATATTTAACATGCTTAAAGAAAAAAGCCATCAAACAGTCTCTATGAGTCATCACATGTTCTTAACTGTTTGATCTTTGGTATCTGATTATGAAATGACAAAGTGTTATGTACCCTCCAAAGGAATATGACTAGGAAGAGAGTGATGCAGATATTTTTCCTGGAATACAAATTAAAAATTCCACTGTGATAATCATAATAAGAGCTAATGCTTACATAGTGTTTACTATATGCCAGCCACTGTTATAAGAGATTTAAATAAATCAACTCGGTGTTCAAAACAACCCTATGAAATAGCTGCTATTATTCCCCATTTGACTGACAAGAAAAAATCAACCATAGAGAGGGTAAGTAACTTTTTTAGGCTATAGTCTTAATCCTTAAACATGATGCTATTATGCTGCCTCAGTAGTAAAGGAAAGTTGATAAATGCCTGATGGAATAGAAATATGACCCAAAGTGCATGGACTCAAGGGTCCTCCAACCTAGGGATTGTTTGGCTAGAGTTATCTAATTCTTAAAGTAAGGAATAAAAGAGAAAAATAAGAAAGAAAAATAAAATGCCAAGTACATGTGAAGAGAATAGAAAAACATGCTGAAAGACAAATGACCTGTATATTATATTAAGAGAGATTACATATTTTTAAAAATGAAGTTTGAGTTCCTTGGGAAATATATATAGAACACAAATTCTGGCATAAAAAAAAACTTAAGTTTTTCTCATAACACAAATATATTAGGATAACATAGACTAGAAATGTGATTGCAAACCCTAGTTTTGTTAAAACCCAGGAATATCACAAAATTTTATTTCACATTTCTTTTATAAATTAAACATCACAATGGGTGGGTTTTTTTCTGTATAAAAGTTGAGAAGGTAGAAATTCTGGGAAGGCTGGTCTAAGCAGAAAGCACATTCCATAAGGAGTCAAGATAAGTTACTGAGTCTTGGTTTTCTCAACTAAAAGTTTTCTTACTTGCTCTTATATACATCACGGATATGTACAGAATGAATTTGAGTAAGAGTAGTTTAAATTATTAGAAAGAATTTCATAATTGAAGTTGGTTAGTTACCAGTATTTTTTAATATCTTTATTTTACATTTATTATGTGGTGCTGAGGATCAAACCCAGTGCTTTGTGCATGCTAGGCGAGCGCTCTACCACTGAGCCACAACCCCAACCCTATTACCACTATTTTCAAGTCCTGAAAAGTAGAAGAATTTTCATGAAAAGGGGTCTCTTCAAGTATCTCCAGTGAAATATTAAAATAGATACAGTTTCATAGCTCATTATTTGGTTTAGAAAAATGATATTTTGAATTAATCATAATTTTGTCAGTGTGCATATGACTGTAAAAATGATAGGTGATGAGCAGTCTAGAAAATTAAAAACTGGTTGAATTGTTTCTGATGTTTTAAGCAGCTTTATAGTCATCATCTGGTAATGATGTACATGTAATTTCCTGCAATTATTAAGTGTATGTTCCTCTTTTTCTGAGATAGCATTAATCTGAGATACGATTCAAGTTTGATCCAGTTTGGTAGAATGGTATGGAATAATGTAGTTATAGGATGAAATACTATCAGACATTAACATTGATTTTATAGTAGAGTAGCTGAAAAATGTTCACAATCAAGTATGTAAAATTTTGTGAAATATTATGTAAGTAACTGATTTAAAAAAATAAGTGTGGAAAGTTATACATATTAAAATATTGACAGTTGTGGTTATTCTTAGCAAGTTGGTTAAGAGCAGGGTTTTCCATTTTTTTGTAGTTCTCTGGATTTTACAAAGAACATGTGTTAATATTATAATGGGGGAATGGGAGAAAAAGAAAACTAGGAGGGTAAGAAATCTGTATACCTATATGGCAAGTGCACCTTGATTGATATTTCTTTGTTTCTGTTATTTATTTTCAAATTTTATGCTGAGCATATGTATTATTTTTTATTATTAAAAACCCAGTAAGCTTGTCTAGTGGTTGTAATGACCTTGCCTTTTTTAAACTTACTTTCACAATTATTTTTAAAATTAATATGTACTCATTGTAGTGAACCATAGAAATAAAAATGAGTTAAAAATAAGTTTAAAAATCATCCATAACTGTACTATACCTTGAATAGTCTTTTTAGGAATAAGTTTTAGAATTATTTAACCTGTAGTTACATGAAGTGGGTCAAATCACAGCTGTGTTACTTAATTTGGCACATTTCTTAACCACTCTGTGCCTTAGTTATCATCTGTACAATGATACTAGTAATGGTACCAATCTCATTAGAGAATTAATGTTATATATGTAAAGTGCATAAAACTCTTTGGTACATAGAAATGTGACCTATCATTATTGAGCTATACTGTATAAATTTGGATTATGCCTTTTAAGATTGACATTATTATACAAGATTTCCCCCATCATATTAAAATATCTTTGTTTTGTTGGGGGGGGGCGGCTACTAGGGACTGAATCCAGGGCTTTGCGTATGCTAGGCAACTGCTCTGCCACTGAGCTATATTACCAGCCCTCTTTGTTATATTTAATGAACTATGATAAATGAAATGAACTATGGTATTTCATCACGTAAATAAATGTACATAATTTACTTAATGGGTCTCTTCTCATTGGAAATTTGCTGTATCACCAAAGTAAAACTTCTATTTATTAGATTCAATTTAAAAGTTAATTATGTTTTAAATTGAGGGACAATTCATATTTATTTGACTCTTAATCAGCAGTAGGCATTACAGTTTCAATTCTTAACCAGACCACCCATCTGGAATAAGGAATCTTGTGTGTGTGAGAACTTGTTACAGCAAATACACTGAATTAGAGTCATAACTGTGTTGCATTTTATACAGAAAAATTCTACAATAGGAAAACATTGTTGTAATCTCAGAAGTTCAATTTAAAATCTAAATGAAATTTTATTTTCCACAGATGGTTGGTAAACACTTTTTCCTAGTTCAGACAAAGGAAGTGTCCATGAAACCTGAGGATGCTCAAAGGGTTTTTCGGGAAAAAGCACCTGACTTCCTTCCTCTTCTGAACAAAGGTACCTTCCAGATGATTAGTGTACTTTTGTGGTTATTTTCTTGACCTCAGATTTGATTTACTCTTTACATTTCTCTTACATTACCTTCTTTTTCTCATTTGTTCTATGTTTTTTCCTGGTACTGTTCAGAAATGTCAAATTTTCACATCATTCAAGAAGCCCTACATAAGTGACTAGAAATTGGGCATTAGTTTTTTCCCTGTTCTATGTTCTTAGTACTTAAGAGTCACATGTTATTATGTATTTTGTTACTTTTAGTTTGTCAAAGATGTACTTTGATCATACTGAAAAAAAATAAGAAATATAATAAAGTGTTATAGTATTTAATGTGCTTAATATAATTAATTTCCCATGTAGAAAGTTAATGCTATCAATAATTTTAGATACTGGATATGTCTAAAAGGAATTGGAGTTTATATGCCCTCTGGAAGGGTTGATGTCTGCCTATCTGTATTTGGAGTTATACTGATTCTACAGGACAGAGTATTATTTATCTGCTCAGAACAGGGACATTGTCTGCTCAAAGTACATCAGGATTTTCTTGACTGGCATGAGCAAATATTAATAGTGATATGCAGTGCTTATTGGTGTACCTTAAAGAGAGAGCACATCTACATTTATAGGTTCTTTATGTTTAAATAAATTATAACATACTACAAAAATCTGTGTGAAAATGTTGGAGGACTGTTAGAATAAATTTCGTAAGTAATGCTGGGTGTTATTCAGCTATTAAATATTAACTCAGGGGCTGGGGCTGTATGTAGCTCAGTGGCAGAGCGCTTGCCCAGCATGCATGAGGCACTGTGTTCTATCCTCAGCACCATATAAAAATAAAAAACAAATAAAATAAAGGCATTCTGTCCATCTACAACTATAAAAAATTAACTCAGCATTTCATATATTTGTAAATATATATATTATATATATACTTATAAATCTTAGAGTAAATTAGTGATAACCATGTTTATATACACGTGTGTATTTGTATATAAAATTATGACCTGGCCCCAATGATGCAAAAATTTTGACACGGGAACCTTCAAATGGAACCTTAAAAATGAACCTTTAAACTCTTAACAGCTTCCAGAAATGAAATGACATAATAAGTGGACATCCTCAAGTGTGAGGGTTAGGAATAAAGTGAACATATGGGTAGGTCTAAATTAATGATTTATGTATTTTTGTGATGTTAGTGAAGTCGTATCATAGAAATGCTCTAATCCAAATAATAATATCTGCAGCTAAATAACAGAATGTTCCACATGGAAGTGGTAAAATGTCCTGTTGCTGCAAAAAGTAGAACTAAAGTGAATGAGCAGATGTTATAGAAATTTCAGGAAATAAACATGGACAGATCTTTAAAACCATAGTTGCCCATAGGAAGTACTTAAAAACTAATGTGGTCATGTCACAAGGTCACAAAAGCCAACTTGAAGGAGGAGTTTTCAGTGATCAATTTTGGTGACAATTTGGCCATCTAAAAGAATAGCGGGTTGGAGGTGTAGGTCAGTGGTAGAGCAGTTGAGTGCTTACCTAGCAGTGTGAGGCCCTGGGTTCAATCCCAGTACCAAAAAAGTGAAGATACTAACTTAACAATAAAAGAAATCCATGCATCCATGGTGATAAAAAAGGAGAGGGAATAAAGGAACAGTCATCTATTTACAGAATATTGTGAGCTAATGGATGTAGAAGAAATGATGTATACTTTGGAAATCACCATTTTTCCACCTCAATGTAATAATTATTTCACACAAAGATTATCAGTGGATGCTAAAATTATGGGAGGGGAGTTGCTAAGAAATAGGATATTTATACATTCTGATTCAAAGGGGGAAATCTTACAGCAAAGATTTGATGATCACCTTGTTAAAGTAGTGATCAAAAGTAACATCAGTGATGAACAGTTTCACATTATGTTTTCCCTGATGTAATGCAATGAAAAATACATCACATCACCTGGGAAGTGTTCTTGCCAAAAGACTTGGGAGGTTAAAAAAAGACTTAACTTCTAGTTTATGGGAAGGAAAGGAAATAAGTTAAATGATACCATGAGGAAACAAATTAGACAAATCAAAAACAAGACATTCTGCAAGACAACTAGTTGTTTCTTTAGACAGTGTCATGGAAAACAAAAATATGGAGGAACTCTTCTAGATTAAAGATTCTAAACATAACAACTGAATGCAATGAGTGAACCTTGATTGGATCTTGGATTGGGGTGGGTGGGCTATAATGCTATAAAAGGCATTTTGGGGACACCTGAGGAAATTTGAAGATGGTATGGGATTATTATTAATTTCTGTAGGTATGTCACTTTTCCTTAAATGATGGTAACTGTGGTTATATAGCAGATGCAGGCTGTGTCATGATGTCAGTAAAACAAAACAAAGCATTTGTGTGCACATGGTATACAGCATGTAATAGAGCAAATGTGGCCAAATTTTGATTTTTGGAGGGTGTAGGGGGAAGGCAAATGGATATTTATGTTCTTCTTTAAACTCTTGTACAATACATGAAATTATTAAAAATTACAAGTTGGGGAAAATTTTTAAGCTGCCTAATTGGAAGAGTGAGCATGCTGTCAGCATAGATATTCCAACAGAGTGGAATGAAATGGGTCCTTATATTAGTCATTCTGAGACAGAGTTCTCGATCTTGGCATTGTTGACATTTTAGGCCTCCTACTTCTGTTATGGGTGGCTATCCTGTGCACTATAAGATGTTCAGGAACATTTCTGGCCTCAAACCACTAGATATTAGTAGTTCCAGTTGTGGCATCCAAAGTGTTTCCAGACATTACCAAATGTCCTCTAGGGGGCAAAATTGCTCCCAGTTGAGAACCACTGTTCTAAGAGTGAACTTTTTAAAAAATTCACTTTTATCTTAGTTTGTACCTCAGAGTCTCTAAATTTTCCTCTTCATTTAAAGTAGTCACCATTATTTATTTTTATTTAATGAATTATTGTTTTTGTTTTGTTTTTTGGTGCCAGGGATTTAATCAAGGGGTGCTTAACCACTGCGACACATCCCTAGCCCTATGTATTTTTGTGGTTTTTTTGAGAATTTTTTAATATTTATTTTTTAGTTTTCGGTGGACACAACATCTTTGCTTGTATGTGGTGCTGAGGATCGAACCCGGGCAGCACGCATGCCAGGCGAGCGCACTACCGCTTGAGCCACATCCCCAGCCCTAGCCCTATGTATTTTGAGACAAGGTCTCACTAAGTTGTGGAGGCTGGTCTTGAGCTTGGCATACTCTTGCCTCAGCCTCCTGTGTTGCTGGGAATACAGACGTGTGCCACCATGTCTAGCTTTTTAAATAAAGCTTTTTGACCCAAATAAGATAATTCATTATTCTTCATTTTGAGAATTTTCCAAACCCAAAAAATCCTCAGAACTATCTAGGGTGCTTTTAAAGATATAAATGTCTAACTTCCACCTCAAAAAGAATGATTCAAAAATCTCTGAGACATACCTTTAGAATCTGAATGTTTAAGTTCCCAGATGGTTCTGAAAACTAATTAGATTTGGGTTCCTTTGTTTTAGAGTCATTCATTCAACAAACATAGTAGATGAGGTCTGAGAAGTAGCAGAGGAATTAGATGATGTAAGAACTTCTAGGCACCATAGAGATTTTGCATTCTAGTCTCAATGATGTGAAAAGCTACTGGGCATTTTTATTTGTGGGGGTTTTTTGTCTTTTTAAAATGAACTTTTATAATGAAATGATTTTAGGATTCCGGATAAATTATAAAGCTAGCACAGAGAGTTTCTGTATAACCTTTGCCTGGCTCTGTCTAATGTTAACATAGCCATGTTATATTCGTCAAAACTAAGAAATTTATATCAGTAAAATGCTGTTTAACTTCAACTATAGAATTTATTCAGATTTCACCAATTTTTCTACTTACGTCATTTTTCAGTTTCAGAATTCAGTTCAGGATCCCACACTGTTTTTATTTGCTGTGCCTCGTTAATCTCCTCCAGTCTCTGATAGTTCCTCAGTCTGTCCTTTTTTATAACCTTGACTTTTTTGAGCAGTTCTGGTCAATTATTTTGAGGAATGTCCCTCAACTTGGGTTTGATGTTTTGTCTACTTAAACCAGAGTTATGGGTTTTGGAGAGGAGGCGAAGTGCCCTTGTTTACATATAACATCATGGGGCATAGGATATCAATATGAGGTGGTATCTGCCAGGTTTCTCCTCTGAAAAGTTTTTGTTTCTCTTCCATACTCTAGTCTTTGGAAGTGAATCACTAAGACTAGCCTAAACACAAGGAGAGAATTAAGCTTCACCTTCTGGAGGAAGCAGTATCCATATACATTATTTGTAATTCTTCTGTAAGAGATTTGTTCTTTCTCCCCCATTCATTTATTCAACAGTTTTTTTCTATCAGTATTGACTCATGGCTATGTATTTTATTGTTTGGTTATAATCCAATATTATCAAGTTGTTCCAGTTTTAACCATAGGGAGCTTTTCTGGGTTGACTTCTCTGTCCCTTTGACATATTCCTATCCTTTTGATTTTTTAATGCTTCTTTACCTTCTTGCTCTAGAAGATATTCCAAGCTCATCCTGCATTTTCTTTGTCCTAGAAATAATGTCACCCATTTCTCTAAGGAACCCTGATGACTTGTATTTTAGAATGGTTGGAAACCAAGATCTGGGTGTTAGATGTACCCATTACTCCTGGGATACCACTGGTTCTAGGCCTTTTCAATGCACAGAAGTAGAAAATACATGTTTGATTATTAACCCATATATACATAATATCTATAATTAGTTCTTTTATCTATCTGTATATACATTCAAATATCTTTGACCCTATTCCAGCACCACAGGGTTCATCCTAGCCTCTCTTCTTGTATCTTACTCAAAGTGAATTATTTGGCTCCCATTATCTATAATTTAGTCATGCATTTGTTTGTCCCTAGCATACATAAAATGTAGTTTTAGAGTTACTAACCCATAACCTTGTGAGAAATTTATTTACCAACTA